TTTTATATAAATTGCGCCATTTATCATTGATTGATCTAGTCTGGGGAATCGGGGAGGGAAGTGCGGAGCCATAGTCTATAACAAAAGCCTTCAAATATTATGTTGAAATCATTGAGCAGCCATTTAAGGCAAGCTTTTCATATGCAAATGTGCCTGTGTGGCTCTCAATAATAAATATGTATGTAAGTAGGACCACCCCGAATGGGGCAAATACTCTCACACAATTTGTGGTATGTGTGTTCTTCTAGATGGTTGCCAGATTTTTTAGTTGAGCTGACTCTTTGACTGTTTGGGGCTGTTCAGTTCAGTGCTTATCGATTACAACTAATCGTGATTAAGTGCATTCCATTTGTGGTATACAGGCAAACATGCAACATGTTGCAGACTCATGCTGCCCGACACTCTGTGCCGAACTCTGGTCAGCGAGATATGCTCTCTACTCTCTCTAACCTCTCCTCTCCACCTCTCTCCATCTCTCTCTCTCTCTCTCTCTCTCTCTCTCTCTCTCTCTCTCTCACTTCACACTGTGTGCAAGACAAATTAATCGACGCGATCAATTCACCTACCTTGCCCCTTACCCCATGCCAACCCCCTCATCAACAAGCTTGCTGCTGATTTTGATCTTCGACACTTTTGTGGAACCGTGTGCATCTCTCTATACACTGAAAGATATCTGCTGTGTATGCTGCAGCTTTTCATTTGTATACCCTGTTGCCATCCACAATGTGTCCAAGGTGTTTTCTCTTACTTTGCGAATGCTTTGTAATTGGGCAGTGGGAGTTATTTTTAAGTACTTTTAGCTTACATCAGTTCTTTTTTTTAAATTATTAAATTTCAAATATTTTTTAAATTAATTTTAAGTACAGCTATTCAACTTTATAGTTATAATGTTTATTAATGAAATTGCCAAAATCTCCACTTTTCCCATAGCTCTTGGTATTCATTGGACAATCGCTCTTTGTTGTGCAGATTAGTTCAGTATCAGTGAGTTGACAAAGAAACCCTTTTGCATAGATTGGAAAGCTTTGTAAATACTCTCAGAAGTCATATTGAATGCTGCTGAGTACGCGGTATCTGCTAGTCCAAAACTCTCTACTCGCATAAAACTTACTAGTCTTTTTGCTGTCTCATTGCGGCGATTGCTCAGCATTATTTTGTCTGATCGCGCGGTGTTAAATAGCTTGTTTGTTATACACCCCACACACACACAAATACACACACTTACGCACAACAAAAATAACAACAAGATATTGGAATTTGGTATTGGTTGCCCCGCCTGAGTGTCTAACAGGCTTAGAGTGGGATCTGTGCCTGTTCGGTTAGGGTTCAGGCCCAGATTAGCTGCCTCAATAACTCACGATTGTTGTTTGAGACTCTGTCAGTCAGTCGCAATGGGTTTTTTATTAGCACTCGACTCGCGATCGAGCACTTGAAGTGTGCTGCATGCTGCTCGCTGGTTACTGCTGCTGATGTTGCAACAATGATGTGCAACAAAATACAGCTAACAAATCTTTAACAACTTTGTCGCGTCATGCTGCTCACAGGCACGCGTCAAACTCAAAAGCGTCTCAGGTTTTTCTTTATTTTTCTTTTCTTTTATGTATTTTTTTTTGTTGTTGTTGTCTTTTTTTATATTTCGTTATTTTTGTGATTTTATAACACAATTGTGTGCGCTGCACTTGAGTGCCCAAAGCGCTGACAAATTGGGTCATCGCAAGCAGTTACTCAAATTTAAATGCAACAACAAGGAAACAACAACAACTGCGACATCGTCTTACTAACAAAAAAAAATATATATAAAAAATAAATAAAAAAGCGACGCTTCCGTTCTGCAGCCGTTAATTCCAGGAATTCGATCGACAATTTTCACACAGACTAAAAATCACACATTTGCCATATCAACAGTAATTACGAGCTTTTTGTGAATTAAACACTTAGCTGCATACTTACGTATATATATATATATATATAGATATATATATATATTTGTATGAACTTCTTTGGGCTGTTATGGAAGCGTGCAGCGCGACTTACTCTGTGTTGTGCACAACAAAAGCAATGCAACTAAAATGCAACGCAGGCAATTTGAAAATGAACCGCGTTGTCAAAAACAGGAAGCGACAAAGTGTCTCTTTCGAAACAAGTGGCCCAACTGGGCACATTAAAATTGATGGACTACCATATGCCCTGGTATAAACGCTTTGGATCAGGCCCTGAATAAGGACCGTGACATCATCAAGTGTCAAATGTTGAACGTGATTGAAGATTATCAAAACAAAATTATCAAAAGTAAACATTATTTTGTTGTACTGAAAAGTTAAAAGAAAACAATATCTTATAATATGAAAATACATATAAATATATATATATATATTTAATTCTACATTTAAAGTTTAAAAGCGATTCCAATTCAGAATTCATTTTAAGGTTAGCCCCTAAAAAAGTGCCAAAATCTGTCGCAACTGATCCAATTTTCAAAAGCCAGCGCTTTTTGGTTTGATCTCTGAAGGTTTGTCCACTTTGACGTATCTGATTTCATAAAGAATATATATATTCGTAATCAGCTTCACAAGCCCAGTCGATATAGCCACGGTCATCTGTTTGTCTCTAATAGAGACTCTCAGTGTGAACCAGTCTCGCAGTTTAAGTGTCACCTTGCTAAAACTTGGAACTTATCCGTTATTTTTACTGCAGGCAGTAGATACATATATTGGGCGCCTCTATATCAGATCAATATAACTTATAGCACTGGGCAGACAGGTGAGTTGTTCTAGTAATTTTTTGTTTACTTATTTGTTTATTAGAACCAATCAGCTTTCTATTCCCAACAATATTTTCGTAAACATTTTTAAAAGTAAAATGGAGTAAAGTATTCATCATTTTATTCACGCCTTTCATCTTTGCAGAGGAGGATCATCATTGCACCCCTTAGCACCTTTTCAGGTACAGGGTATAATTATGAAAATTTTGCGCGCGCACAAAGAAAATTGGCCAAAAAACTAGAAAAACTTGTTCCCTCCATGGCAGAAAACTTATGCCAGAAAGAGATGGTGAGTGCTATATATGTGTATATGTATATGGTATATATAAATACAGTATATATATATATATATATACAGCATGTTCTTGTGGCAATTGAGATTTGCTAGTTGGTGGTTTTAACTGGCCAACCAAGTTGGCAGGTTTGCGCTTGCGTGGGCTTTTTTATTGGCAGTGTGGAAAATATTTGGCTACAAAATTGCACAAATTAAATTAACGACATGGCGGCTGCATTTTGTCATAGTGTGTGTGTATGTGTGTGTGTGTGTGTGTGTGTGTGTGAGTGTAGATGATATACTAGGTACTCTTTTGATTATATGCTTGTGTCCATAGACCATTAAGCGTTACAGGTTTCTTTCACACGAAATCAACCCATGTATGTCTCTGCCTCTCTGCCTGTGGGGTCTGTGTCTCGGGTTGTCTTGCCTTGGATTGGGTTGGATTGGCTTGGCTTGGCTTGGACTTGGTCAGCGTTCTCTTCTCACGACGCAGCGGGTGACAGGCGCTGTTCCATAATTTAGACGGCTGTTCATCACCATCATCGTCGAATCGGGCCCAGGCATCAACCATCAACCATCAACAGTGGCGCCTAAAATCAGACCAGACCCGAGTTCTGTTGCTCGGACGATGGCAACACTTGTCAGTGCCCCTTCTCCACCTCCTCATCCCGATATGTGCCACAAATTAATGCGTGTAATTAATAATGTTGTTTTCTTGCTGCTGCTGCTGCTGCTGTTGCTGTTGCTGATGCAATTGTTTGCTGCTTTCCGTAGAAGTAGTCTTTCTACACTTGGAAAAATAAACTCTGCTCTGGGAATTGAAAAAATCTACATTTGGTGTTGCTAAAGATCAGAGTAATTATTTTTTTAATTTTGGCTTCTATTTTTCAATTTAAAATGATTGTCTCATTTTTGAAAAGAAATATATTTTAAATTTAGATACTTAATTAAGATAAAAAATAGTTGTTAATCCTTAAACTTTCTCAAGACATTTATTTCATTAATTTATAAATTATTTCAAGGAGAGATAAATGATTTCTATTTTTCCAAATGACTTATATTTTTGCAAGTGTAAATTTAGATTTTCTATGTAGGTGCTAGACCAAGTACGGCTTTGGTGTTAATAGGTGCGCCTTCTGGGCTCCCTATTGTTGTGGTTGGTGCCTCTATTTGCTGCAAACCATTAATCACACACAACTTATGGAGTAGTCTTCGTCGTCGTCGTCGTCAACGTGGGTCGTACAGCTCCTAATGATTATGATTTTGTGCGTTGTTATTTTTGTTTTTCTATATATTTTTTCTGGTGCTTCTGCCCCTGATCCGAGCGCGGGGCGTTTGCTTGTTTTTTTTTCCCCGTTGGGCAGGTAGCATTAAATTGGAAATTTTGGCTTGATTGAATGATGTATGGCTGGGCATTTATCGGAGATACACGTGTAACACAATGTTTCTGACAGTTGTAGATTATGTGATCTGGCAGCGTTTTAGTTCCGAGAAGGGGCAAACTACAAATGACTTGTGTGTGTGCAGCGCTTAAGCATTTAAATGGAATTTAATGAAAGCCTATATATTATGCAGAAAATGTTTGAGATAAATATTTAATATGTATAAGTATGTTACGATTATTACAAGTATTGTTTTGTGTGGTATATGATATATATTATATTATCTCTAGTTCAATATAGTGTTAAATACAATTCAATGATATTAATAGCATAATAGTCCCCATTGTTGTCAGTGCTCATACTACTTGGTACATAGTTTTACTGTGTATAAATAAGAGTAATACACATAACCCATAAAGATAAAATATGAAATACGAAAATTGGTACAGAAATATTATATAAATATTTAATTTAAAGTATAGCTTTTATTGTGGGCTTAAATTATTATCGAGTGCATTTTGAGTAACTATTATTGCTAGACTTTATGTAGAACATTTTCGTTAAGCATTGCTAATATCGATACATCGATTAGGGCTTATCCCCCACCAACTATCGATTCCAAGGAATCATTAACAGAGTGTGCTTTAACTGTTAATGCAAATCAGCTGACAGCTGTCAAAAAGCGCAAGGTTCGCACATCAAATTGGGTTAACAGAGCACAATTCAACTGGCGAAAAAGGTAAACGCAGAAAAACGATTGAAAAATGCACTTGCAACATCAAGCTGCAAGATCGAAAGGCTTTTTGCAAAAACTAAAATGAATAATATATTCCTATTGGGTTGCAGAACTTGAAAAATATCAATATAATTTACAGCGATTTATTTGCAATGTCACGTGGAAAATATGTTAAGCAAAAGGGCCGCAAACGTCACTTTACAATGCCCGAGGAGCTGGCGCAGAAGGCCATGAAGGAGAGCGATCTTACGGTGAATGGACGAAAGGCGGGCAGAGACACCGATTATGAGGACAACCAGCAGCAACAACAACAGCGCGGCTCGGATGTGGAGTCAACGGATGATTCGGAGGCGGAGCTGGAGGAACGAGATGCCAAGAAGGGCGTCGCCTCACTTATCGCCATCAAGAATCCCAATCGTGTGTACAAGAAAATCACAGAAAACCTAGCGCAAATCAAAATTGATGATGATGTTGCCACAAGTGGCGGCGATGACGATGCTGTTGCTGGTGCTGAAGGTGGTGGCTACTTTAAAGCCAATGCCCGCAAGCCGGAAATGTGTCGCAAACGCGTAAATTTTGAGTTGCTGAAGCAGAAGAAGAAGAAGTCGGTTGAGCGCTACGAGAAACTCCAACCGGCGGAGAATACAATCAAGGAAAAGTCGGATCTTGCTCGTCTCGCGCTCATCCGGCAGCAGCGGGAGGAGGCGGCTGCCAAGCGCGAGGCGGTGAAGAGAGCTGCCGCCGAGAAGGTGCCAAAGAAGCTTTTTATTCGCGATGCTAAGAAAGCAACAGAAACAAGCCTTAAAAAAAAATGTAATAATTTATTCGTAGATAGTTAAAACAGTAGAAAACTCTACACAAAATATCTATTTATATATATACACTCAAGGACAATAAAATATGTGCAGAGTGTAAATGTTTTTTAGCTAAAATATAGCAAATATTAGAATTGTTGTATGTTAGATTTAAAACATGAGTTAAAGTCGTGCATTGAGTCCATGTACAGATTTAGGTATTATATTACAAAATGCTCAAGGACTCGTATATATACATATATATATATATATATATTTGTGACTGCTCCTTAACCCCCCGCACTGCCGCATTTCTGGCAACCTTGAGGCGTTTTTCGAACTTTCCCAGTGCGCTGGCGACAAAAGGCTACAAACTTGTCGGCAGCTCCTGTCGCGTGTCCTCCGACTGCAACAGCGCGACGACTACTTAAACAGCAAATAGAACAAAAGCGCAAAACTAAATCAAAAGACAAATAGAAATCAATAAACATTTACAATCTACGAAACGACACCCGCGGTTGCAATTTGTCCCAGTAAAAGAGAGAGAGAATGGATGGCAATAGAAGCCTTAAGCCTCCAGAGAGAGAGAGAGAGAGCAAAAGGCAAAAGTCAAAGTCATTGGCGTACTTTTTGTATCTTTGTACTTTTGTAGTTGCAGTTTGAGCATTTTTAGCGGGAAATTTGAACTGTGCACGCGCAACAGATACCCATTATTAATTTTGTAAATGCGCGTGTCAAATGTGTCATACTAAAAATCAAGGTGAGGTGTGCTGACTGAGCTGAGTGTGTGCTCATTAGCAGTATCAGCAGCAGCAGCAGCAGCAGCACAAGCGGCAGCAGGACGAAGGACACATTGTTGTCATAAATGGGCCATAAACCCATTTGCTGAACCCATCAATGCGACCATTGTTTGACCAAAATGTGCATAATGAGCTGCCACACGCAGTTAATGGCATTCAACAACAGTCGCAGCCTTGACATGCTCAAGGTCACAAGGATCTCTCTCTCTCTCTCCCTCTCTCCCTCTCTCCCACTCTCTCGCTGTCTGCTTTCGTTAGCCTTAGTGTACTTAACTGATTGCAGCTCAAGCCAATTGCAAATTGAGTTATTTTATCGGTCGCTGCTAATGTTTTCATTTTGTTTGAGTTTTCGTTTTCCCTTTTTTTTCCTATTTTTTTTTTTTGTAACTATTTCCGTTCCAGTTGGCGTCCCTGTTTGAACTCCCACGCACTTTCCTGCTTGGCAACACTTGGCTCCGTCTGGCAATTCATCAATCTGGTTGGTTAGTCACCGATTTTTGATGTGGTTTCGGCCTAGTTCTATGCTCTTGCTTGGGTCGGGCATGTTCGCTATGAAGAGCATGCAGCACTTGTATTTGTCAAATATTTCTTTGGCAAAAGATTTATTCAAACAACTGAGACATTAATTTATTACATTTTGATTGCAAATTGTATGCAAAATATATTTTTGCTTCTTTCTAAATGCTTTTTATAATAAGTCATATTATATAATTCAATATCTACTGGAATATTTTCATTTTATAGCTGGCTGCTTTTTTTGTTGCTATTTTTAACTTGTTGCAACCGTGAATATTCAGTTATTCATTTATATTCTAATCTGCACTTGTTTTAAATAGCCTTTCATCATAGTGTATTTAATGATTCGTTCGGTTTGCATTTGCAATCAATTGTTTATTGTTGTGTTTACTTTGTCGCCTGAGGCCTTAAAATTTATTGTCATAGTCGCATAAAGATGAAACATTCATTTTCAGTGCGCTTTGTTTAGAGACAGAAAGATGCATTAAAAAAGTGTGCATCATCGTAATATGCGCTTTGATGTTCTCCCGCCGGCAACGAGTCTTTAACCACCTCTCTCTAGTCATCTACCTCCCATTCCCCATTCCCCATTCCCCATCCCAACCACTCCCACCTCCCTCAACCATTACACGGCTGCTCTGTCATATTTTATATATTTGTTTTGTAAAGGCTCAACTCGTCAGGCAATTACGCATATTATTTGCACAAATTACGCATGGCAAATTATTTCTACATTTTTTATTTGATTTTACTGCTGTTGTTGTTTGTTTGTTACGTAAGCACGCAAACTATAAAAACCTTCCAGTAATATGGCCTAATATATACCATGCTCAGCTTCAAGAATTATATTCATAAACAAACAAATAAAATTCTTAAATTTTAAGTTAACAAACTTTTTAGTTTTTGCTCAAATTGTTTAAAATATTTTAGGCACACTTTCAAAGTTATATCATTAACTTTTCACATCGACATTTTAATGCAATTTATTATATATTTTATGTCATAAAAGTTTATAGGGTATGCTTGGGCTTAGCATTGGCAATGATGAGCATATTTATTGTGCTTGTTTTAGTTGTTGACGCGTAACAAATTGCTAATAACTTGATTATGCGTCTAATGGACGCAATTGTGGCATGCCTTCTATATAAATATACTCTCTACACATATATACACACATATATATATATATATATAGACTTATATAGGTATGCTTTGTTATGTCGACCAACCCCTGAAATGATTTCATATTTTTACTGCCTGCCGCACATAACTTGCCATAATGAACTTTTGTGTGCAATTTGCTGCCACATCAGAGGCATGCCCCTTCAATTGACAGCCCACCTAGAGGGAGCACCCTTTCTCTCTTTCACTCAGTCTCAGTCTCAGTCATCAAAGCAACTTGACGACGACCACATGAAAGCGACAGAGGCGAACATAAACATCTACTTAATGATTTCCTATGCAGCTCGTTATATTCACTCTCTACTTATATATATATATATATATATATATACTATATAAATATAGACAATATATATTTTTTCTATATAGGTTTCGGCTTGTGCTTGCATTTTCATTTATAAGTCCCGCGCGCTGCTCTCATTGTTGTGTTTACATAGTAAATTTATACTTTTTACTACTTGTTTCCATTATTTTTAGTAGTTAATAAACAGTCGCAAAACAACATTCCACATGTGCATGGCACATTTCTCTGCGTCGAGCAGAGCCTCAACTTCAAAGTCGCCACATCACACACACAGACACACCCAGAAACCACAACAGAAGAAGATTCCATAGCGTGATCTTTGGGCGATCCCCAGACTGAAGCAGCCCAGACAGCCTGGCTGCAATGCAGTCGAGCAAACATTGTTGAATGTAAATTACCCCCTCAAGGATAGGGGTATTACACTGAACAGATTACATTCAGAAACAATTATCATATTAACTGAAAGAATATGTTTACTTTGCTCTTCAGATACTTACTTGAATGGGGAATCGAGCCTGGCAACCTTTTTAACGTCAACTCAAACTCAAACTTATTTCAGAGCAGTTTGTGATGTATGAAAGACGGCATATCCGACTTCATTAAGTATATATATAACTGATCAGCATCACTAGCCTTATCCATCTATCCAGCTGTCAGTCTCCCTCTCTATGTGGACTAGGTTCACAGTTTAAATCGATTGCTATTTGGTTTTCTCAGTGTATATCCCATATCCTGCACTTGAAACTTTGCTGCCAGCACTTCAATTTCTCAAACATATCACATAACGCACAGACACTCTCTCTCACACACACACACACACACACAGACACATTGAAAATTAGCAATTACATATCGACACCCAGAGAAATGTTCGACCATAATTTTCCCACACACGTTTGCTCGTATCCAAAAAGAAATGTTCCAGTCATAAAACTGACAAGTGCCAAACTCAGGCAAACATCAAAGTGCCAAGCAGCAAAACCAGCACACTTCAGCACCCACCTCGCGCCAGCGTGCACCACTTCTGTGGCACGTACACATGTGGCAATAATGAGACAAGTGCAACATACTTGCAAAAATTGTCATTTGTTGTCAATAATTTCAATGAGAGGCACACAAAAAAAAAATATATATATATCGAGACAAACGACGCAGACGAGAAATTTCCCATCAAATTATATACATATATATGTATATATATATATATATATTATATATATGTATATTTGTACATACATTTTTTTTGGTGGTTGACGTTTAGAGTTGCCTTGGAGAATGCTTCGAAATCGCTTAACGATGTGAACACACCTCCGCACACACAGCACACACATTCACACACACCACACACATACACACACACACACTACACACACACACCACACACACACCACACACACACTACATACACACACACACACACCACCACACACACACAAGTTTGCAGTGCATATGTTCATATATTTGTCATGAGTTTTGCGAATAGTCGCAGCAGCAATAATTCTGTTCAATGGGTGCAGGACTTTCAAGAGAAAGACAACTTTTTTCTTGAACTTGCGCTTGAAGTTGAAGTTTTCTTTATTTAAAAGTTATAAATTAAATTTGAATCAAAATTTTCTTAAATGAGTTTACAAGAATAGAAAACTACCAGCAATAAGACATTTTGAAAATAATTTTAAATTGAGTTTTTTATTATTGTTTTTTAATGAACTGACAAATGCTCGATTCTGTTCCCCTTTTCAAACTCCAAGTCCGCTCATTTGGTCATATTTTTGCAGAGCCAAATGCAAAATGCCAACTTAATAAATTCAATAAATAAATAAAATTGTTTAACTATCATTTAACGTCTTTGTGGGCGTTTTGCAGAAGCGAAAAGCAAAAGCAATGTGAAAGATAAGTTTAAGGTTTCTGCGCTTTTTGATTGGGGTAAGGCCCCTCCCCAACTGAACTCTGAATTGTTCGTCAGTCGTCGTCGACATTGCAAAATGCTTAATGACTTTTTCAACTTGTTGAAGTCATCATTATTTGTTCTTATGCTCTGCTTGAAAATTATTTAAATATATATCGATCTCTTTTGGTATTTGAGTATCAAATGAATTATTTATCAAATGAATTATTTATCAAATTAAATCACGACTTCCAACAATTTGTATAGTTTCTTAATGCAATTTTATATTGCCAGTTCTGATTTAGATCACTTCCAAACTGTTTACAGAGTATCCCATAGTCCTGCACTGTCAGCTAGAACTTTCGCACTGGTTTGTATTTCATGCCTTTGGCTGTTTTTTTTTTGCAAGTATTTTTTCT